TCTCTCTCTCTCTCTCTCTCTCTCTCTCTCTCTCTCTCTCTCTTCTCTCTTCATCCTCCAGCAGCAGAGTCTTTGTCAGTTCTTTTTTGTCTCTCTGCATCCCATTTACTTCCATTTCAGTCTGGCACTCTCCAGTGTTTAGACCACATCATCTCATATCCTCTCCTGTTTATTCCTCCCCCTCACTTTACCCATCTTTTCATCCTTTCCCCTCCCTCATCACTAAGCTCTCTCCCCGTCCTATCCAGTGGTAATAATCCCCGCTTAATGTAATTGGGCTCTGTAATCTTTGGTTAGCAACAATCATCCTAATAGTTAGCCGGGCTTTTTGTCCACACGAGTGTCCCCGTCCGCTGACGTCTAGCCTCTCGATGTGGCCAATTAAATCTGGATCTCCCCAAACTCCGCTCAGCAAACGTATCTGCTGACGACAGAGTAGAATGCAGCACTGCCTGGTGGTCAGGCTTGGGGAGTCATTATAACATGTAACGGGATTACTAGTATATTTTTAAAGAATGGCGACTTCTTACAGGATTACAATGCTACGATAGATTTGATAGAGGACATATTACACTAATTTTCAGGTTCATATTTATATCTATTGTCTCTACTGTGACATGTCTCCATGCTTTAATGTTCAGAAAGCTCTTTATTTGTTCTCATACTGTCTGTGCTGCAGCACCTCTTTTCACCCTCTGTCTGAAACCAGAGCCCAGTTTGCTCTGATTGGTTAGCTGGCCGGCTCTGTTGTGATTGGTCAACCGCTTAGAGATGTCCCGCCCCTTTAGCCTATTACGTAGAATGTGTGGGAGCGCTAGCCAATAGAAGCGCAAGTGTTACATAGTGATGTCATCATGTTACAGAAGTAAACAAAGGAGTCCAACAGAGGCGTTTTAGGCGGGGGGGGGGGGTCAGAAACACAGGGATTTTAGCCTTTGCAGACCATTTACATGCACAAACATATATATAACACACTTCAGGACAGGGGTAACCCCAAAAAGCATAATAGGGTCTCTTTAAAATAAAACAACATATTGTGAGGCACATGCGCTCACATCATCAGTCATCCTGGCTTCTAGTTCAAAGAGTGCTTTGTTAGTTATTCAGTAAATGTTATATATTCTCTTGCGTTTAATAGCATTGCATTTGATATTGAGGTAATCCAAAAGTAACAGGAAGTAATTAGGTTACATGACTTGAGACACACTTAGATTAGGTTTCTGATTACATTTCTTTACAGGTACGTATCAATTGTAATGGATTACATTATAGGTAACTCCGCAGCTCTGCTAGCGTTGCATGTATTACTGTTCAAGTGATATATAGCTCACAGAGAAGCGAGTAGATTGGGACAACTGCTGCTGATGCAACGTGACAAGAGGAGAACAATGCACTCAAAACTAAAAAAATGTAGGCTTGTGTCAAAACAGATCTGAAACCAGAGTTTTTATTTGAACAAAAAGGGGAACTGCATGATGAAGAATGACTGTCCTTGTAGCTGGAGAGTGTAGACGCATGAATATGTTCACTGTGTTCACTCTGTTACCAAAAACAAAACGGATTAAGGGTAATGACATAAGGTTGGGTTTTGGTATGCGCTGTCCCTGAACCAGTGATCACTATGGAAACTGTGTGTGTTGTGTGTGTGTGTGTGTGTGTGTGTGTGTGTGGGTGTGTGTGTGTGTGTGTGTGTGTGTGTGTGTGTGTGTGTGTGTGTGTGTGTGTGTGTGTGTGTGTGTGTGTGTGTGTGGTGTGTGTGTGTGTGTGTGTGTGTGTGTGTGTGTGTGTGTGTGTGTGTGTGTGTGTGTGTGTGTGTGTGTGTGTGCCTTTAATCTGAGCTGCACAGTTGAGCTGCAGGTCCCACAGATTTGATATATTAAAGTGTAATCTTCAATCATCTCTAATCTATCAGATCACCGATTGCTCCTCTGGCTGCCGTGACCCCTGTGTGGAGGTGTGTGGTGTGGTGTGTGTGTGTGTGTGTGTGTGTGTGTGTGTGTGTGTTGTGTGTGTGTGTGTGTGTGTGTTTGTGTGTGTGTGGTGTGTGTGTGGTGTGTGTGTGTGTGTGTGTGTGTGTGTGTGTGTGTGTGTGTGGTGTGTGTGTGTGTGTGTGTGTGTGTGTGTGTGCTAGTGAGTGTGTGTGTGTGTGTGCTCGTGCATGTGTGTGTGAACGTGAGTGTGTGTGTGTGTATGTGTGTGTGTATGTGTATGTGGTGTGTGTGTGTGTGTGTGTGTGTGTGTGTGTGTGTGTGTGTGTGTGTGTGTGGGTGTGTGTGTGTGGGTGGGTGTGTGTGTATGTGTGTGTGTATGTGTGTGTGTGTGTGTGTGTGTGTGTGTGTGTGTGTGTGTGTGTGTGTGTGTGTGTGTGTGTGTGTGTGTGTGTGTGTGTGCTCGTGCATGTGTGTGAGTGTGTCCCCCAAATAAACACATTTCACTTTCATCTTTTTATATCTCCATTTCCCATATTCCCTCCCACACACGTTGCAATGGGCTGTAGTGCAGCGGTGTTAGAGTGACACCTGCTGGTAGAAGAAGGAAGTGGCCCCTAAAGGGAGTAGATACTGAAAATGTGAAATGCAATCACTATTAAGATTAATTGAGTACTTGTTAAGAGGGAAATTACATTGAAATCACTATTTAATTTTCTATAGCCCTGGTTGATGAGAGTAGGTATATGGCTTATTAGTTTTTTGTATGACTGAAAAAGCTATTTAAACCTGACGACATTTAGTTTACACTGATGGCAAATTGAGAACATATTCAGGCACACTCTTTATGTTGACGGGAGCAATCTAAAAGCTATTTAAAGTGACCATAAATAACATTTACATGACCACAATAACAACAATCGTATACATTTGTTCTGGTGATGTCTTCATAAAAGATGACGGAAGGCAGGTGTATTTGGAAACCTCAGTAGGAGCTTTAAATATAAGAATAAACTGAAGCAGCTTAATAAAGTTTAGCCATTGTTCATTTCATTACTCACATGTTAAAATGTCAGCTGTGAAAAAAGCCTTATTTCCTAAACATGAGGGATGACGTGTAGGCGATTCATAAAAAAGGCACTTGCAAACCAAACGTGTTACTTTAAAGTATATATTTTTTTAAAAGATTTTCTCGGACACCTTGCCTCTTTTCAAGTAACAGGGGATGACTCTATTAAAATGGTATAATAAAAGTCCCATGATAGTATTTTACACCAAGATTATTTTCTACATTGAACTTCCGCCTCCTTCAAGTCATCAAAATATCTTGTTGCAGAGACACATGCTTTGAATCCACAGCAGGGTCAATAAGACAGCTGCTCAGAGGTCAGGAACACAAGCTGTGGTTTCAACAGGAAGCTCCGTTGAGTCTGTGAGAAACTGTGTGACTGGATCTTCTCTCAATTAAGAGAGAAAGTCCAGTGTGAATGTCTGCCTGTGCGTGTTGCATTACTTTACAATACTGTATGGGTTAAAGTGGGCTTTTACCATTAGCACAAAACAAGGCCTCGCACATAATAACAAATTAAAAGACTAGAAATGAACAATTCTAAAATATAAACATCACAAAATCGAATAAATCAGAATCAGAAACAGGTTTATTACCAGGTAGGTTTACACGTACGAGGAATTTGACTTGGTGTCGTGGTGCATACATAAAAAATAACATGAACAAATATTACAAATAATACAAAATATAGCAGTATTTACATAGAAATAGAATGGAATAAAATATGGAATAACATTTGGCAGTTAAAGCCATGAGTTTGTATTTTTACACTGACGATGCTGTGTAGTTAGCTGAAAATAATGCTCACCCGTGGATCAGAGGGTTAGGGTTAGCAGAGGCCTGTACTACGAAGCCGGATTTTCGCTTAGCGAGGTAACTTCAGGGTAAACTCTGGGTTTCCGTCTGTTTTCATCTGACTATTATAACATTAGCGTTAAGAAAGCTTACTTAAATATCTGCCACGACATAAGTAACCGGATCAGAGTAACATTAAGTACAGTCCGCGGCACTGTGAGTGCAGACGGTGATGTGTCCCATTATCATTCATATCATATCACATCATAATGTATCATATATTTCCTTATCTGAGTCAGCTTCTTGAGCCGTATCTGGCCGTGCAACACTCACAGTGTCACATACTGTATGCAGAAGTATTATTTTAAGCAACACATTAAGTTGACGAAACACTCGAGTCAAATGTAATTAAAGTCAGATCCACTCGTGTCTAAGACGGAAGTATGACGCTGCGCTGTCAGTACGCTTCTCCATGTTTGTGATTGGTCAAATGTTGCTAGCCCCGCCCCTTTCATGTGAACGCGCACTCAGCTGGACAGAGAGAAACCCTGGCTTGAGTTACAGAGTAGATAACCAGCGTTGTAGGACAGTTTAGCGAGAGCGCGTTTGTTTTGGGTTAGTTAAGCCGGGTAACTCAAACATATCCAGGGTATGTTGAACTGGATTCGTAGTACAGGCCCCAGGTCTGTCTGTTACCATTATCCTCTCAAATAAGATAAAGATGAGATGTACTTTATTAATCCCTATTTGAGACCTTACGCATGTTGCAACCCCTTGTTAAAGAAACTGTTTATCTAAATTGAAGTACTATTGGATGTAAGATAAGATAAGATGGACCTTTATTAATCCCTGTGCGGACATTCAGTAGTTTAACAGCAACAGGGTAAGAATGAAAAACAGGACAGCAGATTCACACAGATTAATACAATTAAAGATAACATCAAAGATACAAATAAAAATGATAAAAAAAAACTGTGAAATAAGAGATGAATTAAAGTGAACATATATACATATTGGGTCATAAACATATTAGATATATTTACATGAATGTGTAGAAACAGTGTGTATTTGATGTCTAGTAATTGTGTCACATTGTTGATGTAAAGGGGAATGTGGGAAAATAACTAATAAAGAATACATTTTTCAAAAAAACACCCGTGGATCAAGTCTGTCTCTAACCATTATTATCCTCCCCTCCCCCCCCACAGGAAGCCGTCCCACCCCCTGCTGAACTCCTTCATCCGTCACATGGGTCAGGGGGCCCAGGGCCACTGGGAGTCTCCGCTGGGCTCCGTCCCCCGCCTGCCCAACCACAGCGCCTGTGAGATGGGAGAACTCACGCAGACAGGTGGGCTGGAACCACATGATTTACATTTTTATCATCAACCAGAGCTGTACAAATACACTGTACACTGACCAGTTTGCATTGCATTTTTATTTAATCCGTTCATGGTATGCACAACTTAATGTATAACAATTATTTACAAAACATGTCTCTATAAACACACGGTACTTTTTTTTTAAAGCTTTATACCCCAAATCAGCACTTTTGAAACAGGAAGTGAAATAGAGGGATATGAGGCATGGCTAGAATGGGTGATCTGTTTGGTATTTTGAGCAAAACACTTCATAGAATTTTTTTTAATATATTTGTATATATCTGAGACCTATGCTATTGCCTAAAAATAGCATGATAGGTCCCCTTTAACTAAATTAGGAAAAACTTCAATAGAAACGTTGGATGAAAATAAAAAAGACATTCAGTGTAGCCCAGATTTTCTTCTGACCAATGTAGTAATAAACAATTCTGCAAATGAACCTACAAGTAATTAACAGTTAACATTAGAGCAATATCAATTCAATCTTGTTTAATTTCCCCCAGGTGTGGTTCAGCACCTGCGCAACGGGCAGCTCCTCCACAAAGCCTACAGGCGGCACAGCTTCCCCCCCGCAGACTGGACGCCCCGCCAGGTGTGGCTGGAGACCACCGGTAAAAGCCGCACCCTGCAGAGCGGACTAGCCTTCCTCTACGGCCTGCTGCCGGACTTCGATTGGACGAAACTGACCGTCCGTCACCAGTGGAGCACGTTGTTCTGCGGCTCGGCGTGCGACTGCCCCGCCAGAAACAGACACCTGGAGGAGGAGCAGAGGAGACAGTACCGCCTCAGGGTGAGCGACACCCAGCTGGAGAGGACGTACGCTGACATGGCTCGCACTTTAGGTCTTCTAACCCGACAGCTGAGGGCCGCAAACCCCATCGACTCCCTGCTGTGCCACCTGTGCCACGGCATCTCTTTCCCATGTGTTCCTACGGGAGACGGCACATACGGATGCCTCACGATGGCTCAGTTTGCCGTCATTCGTCGGCAGCAGCTCGACGATGAGGTGGATCGGAGACGAGTGGGGCTGTATCATAAATACGCCATCTTGGCCATGTACCCCTACCTCAATCGGACTGCCACAAAGATGGAGCGTGTCGCCAAGGACAACGAGGCGGGCAGAGCGCGGCGGGCAGGAGGCGAGGAGGTCTTCTCGTTGTCTTCAGCCCACGATGTTACCGTGGCGCCGCTGCTCAGCGCTTTGGGGCTCGAGGAGGCACGATTCCCACGTTTTGCTGCACGATTAGTCTTTGAACTGTGGAAGAGTCCTCCCGCCACGCGAGGACAACAGAAGAAGAAAGCCGGGAAAGGTGACAAGTCGAAGGTGAAAGACGGAGAAGTGTTCATCAGGGTGCTTTACAACGGCGAGGACGTGACATATCACACGTCTTTCTGTCGCTCACACGTCACAAACACCAACCAGCCGCTCTGCCCTCTGAAGAACTTCCTGTCTTTTGTCAGGAGAGACATGTTCAGTGTGGTCAACGCCACGTCCTACCATGAGGCGTGCTACAAGCGCCCTGTTTGATGGAGAGGAGGGTGAAGATTGTGTCACTTTTTTGCGTTTCGTTTTCCACTTTTGAAGATGGTGCACTTTTATGCTGCTCATACAATTCCTACATCTTTTTAAATGTATATTACGGTACATTCCTGAGCACACGCACACACACACACAGTACTGTACATCACGTCTTTGTAAGATCGGTATCTAACCTTTTTTGGTCTGTTTTCCTAAGCGTCTTCGTAAGAGTCATTCAAGGGAAGTTGTATGGCACTTAGCCACTTTATTCCTATATTCCATATTACCATGGAATTCCAGTATTTCCCAAATGCTTGCAATAAAAAGGAATATTGAAACGGGGAAATAATATGCTGAAATAATGATTCATGAGTAATATTTTGAGTACAATAAATCTTTTCAATGAAAATTACACTTTGGGCTAGTTATGGCCACATTACTCAATATGACTCATGTGTATTAGCATTCATTTTAATATTTATTCATTGCATTCTCTGTTTAATGATGAGGGTTATTTCTATACTTTGACACGTTGCTGTACTGTAGGTCTTTTCTTCTACTTGTTTTGGTAAGACTGACTGTGGTACTTTGAAACTGACAAGTGATTTTTGTTTTCTTACATTTATTTACAACTGCAGAACTGAATCTGCATTCATATCAATTGGTGATTTAACAGATACACTTTTTTTATTTTGCTTGTTGTAAACTGAATCAAATAAAGGTTCATTCTGCGCAGAAATGTTCAAATCAATTGATGAAAAGTGGTTTCCTGGATCCTGGTGGTATGTTGGTATCAGAGGTGTGAAGTATTAAAGGGGACCTATCATGCAAAATGCACTTTTTGATGTCCTTTATTCATAACTATGTGTCCCCGGTGTGTCGGGGAGACTCACGCAGCGTCAGAAAATAAAACCCTTTCTCTTTTCCTCCGTACCCACATCTTTTAAAAACGGAGTGGATACAGATTTGCTGCCGATATTACGTAATTTCGGATGGCGGACCCACAGAGAGTTGCTATCAGAAACAATGCCTGACGTGTTTTGGACGTAATCTCGTCTTTGTTTACATTAGCAAGCCTCGCTAACACTCAGAACCTGTACTGGAGAGCACATGTGTTTAAAAAGCAGGAAATAAAAAAAGGAAATCACCTTGTGATAAACCCGCAAGAGAAAAAGCATTTGAGCTCCATACTGTTTCAGAAATAATCCTTGATGTGGTTTAGAACAGGATGGCGTTTTATCACAGCAGAATTTAACTTTATCTCCGGTAGAATTCTGAGCAGGCATTAGCTCCGCCTCCTCTTTTTTTGTTTTCAAGCTAAGGACCCAAAATCCGTGTTTCTCTGTGGGTGTTTCTCAATCGCGAGTACGCTTGCTTGGTAGCACATGTCTGCCGAGCATCTTGCTTCAGAAGCGAGGCAAGAATACTTCCTGCCATTCGGAAAACAAAGAGTGGAACAGGCTAGCAAGTGTGCAGGTGTGCGTCATATGAGAGGCCCCGCCTTACATCTTCCGCCACAGATTTGGGGAAATTGGTCCGTGCGCAAAGCATTGTGGGGATTTTAAGACCGCGAAGTCTACTCATGTGCAGCCTCGATATTTCTCCAAACGGAGTACGCCGGGCTCGGTAGATTTCCAAGTATGCTGGAGATTGGAACAGTACTTCGGCGGCACTCAATGACGTAGTATGCTTGAAATAGTGGCTCTGAAGCAGCTTTACTCGCGATTGAGAAACACCCTGGGTGTTTCTCAATGTCGAGTACGCTTCCTTGGTAGCACATGTCTGCCGAGTCACTTGCTTCAGAAGCGAGGCAAGAATCCTTCCTAGCCTCGGAAAACGAAGAATGGTGGAACAGGCTAGTGTGCAGGTGTGCGTCATATGCGAGGCCCCGCCTTAAATGGAGCGCGATTTCCGCCAAAGATTTGGAAATTGGTCCGTGCGCAAAGCATTGTGGGGATTTTAAGACCGCGGAGTCTACACATGTGCAGCCTCGAAATTTCTCGCTACGAAGTACGCCGGCCTCGGTAGAATTCCAAGTATGCTGGACATTGGAACAGTCCTTCGGCGGCACTCGATGACATAGTATGCTTGAAATAGTGGCTCTGGAGCAGCCTTCCTCGACATTGAGAAACGGCCTCTAACAGGGCTGGAATAGAGGGGTATGAGGGACGTCTAATGGCGCGTTTCCACTACAGCGCGGAGCACGGTTTAAGAGGGCTGTGACGTCAGCGGCCCGTCTTTGGTTGCGTTTCCACTTGGCCTAGTACCGGCCGGCGGGTCCTAATTCACAGTTTTTCTGGCCTCATAAAATCGCGGGTCTAGGGCCAGAGACAACGAGGCTGAGTCGGGCTGAGTATGCTAAACTAGAGAGAGCATCGCTGGCAAGGTGGCTACAACTACAACAAGATGGACATATTTGACCGTGATTTAATTGTAATACACGTTTCAAAATGATGCCGAAGTAACAACATACTGATACCGGTTAGTAAAAACCATGAATTAATGCTTTGTCAAGTCTGCAGACAGACGGCAGGCGAAAAACCTTTTAAAATGCGTGTATTCTAAATGGAGATTGGCTAAGCTAACGCAGTATATGCTCCGACCGTCCACACTCACAACAACGGCCTATACAGACATAAATAAAGCAGCGACTGTATTCACCATGACACAGGCAGTCTGTGGTTTGTACTTGTTTAACTTTTGTCTAGTTTCTGAACATATATGAGGAGCTGTGAGCTCTGAGTGCTAACAGCTAACGGCTGTGTTGTTTTTCTGGGGTTCTCATTGAAGATGACGTCACGGCTCCGCCTACACTGCGTTACTATAGATACTACCCCAGTTCCTAAACTGTAATGGAAATGCGCCATAAAGTGAGCCAGTCCTAACGAGGCCTAGCCATACCGAGCGAGGCCGAGCGAGGCCGTGTAGTGGAAACACGCCATTAAATGCATGATCTGTTTGTATTTTGAGCAAAACACATCATAGACATGTTTTATATATTTTTATATATCTGAGACCCATAATATATGCCTTAAAATAGCATGATAGGTGCACTTTAAGTACATTTACTGAAGTACAATTTTGAGGTACGTTCATGTTATGCCTTTTGACTTCTACTCAACTACAGTTCAGATGTGAATGGTGTACTCTTACTCCACTACATGTATTGAATACCTTTAGTTACTTTACAGATGTGGATGAATGATGTGAAATATGATCAAGTGTTAAATCAGACTTTAGTTCCACCTGGAGTAAATTCACAAGCTCCCCTGCAGTATACAAAGTCATTCAAACTAGCTGCACCTTTACCAGCTTTGAGAACACTTTAATGATCAATCATTATAAAACATATCATATATATTATTCTGAAATGGACCAATCTGCACAATGACTACTTTTACTGTCGCTACTTTAACTATATTTTGATGAGAATACTTTTCTACTTTTACTTAAAGTGGACCTATCATGCTATATTTGAATAATATTGTGTAGGACCATACCTATATAAGGCATATTTATACTTTTTTTTTTTCATAATACCAAACAGATCATGCATTTTAGCCATGCCTCATTTCGCTCAATTTGACAATTTCTAGCTCTGTTTTTGCAAGGGCAGATTCAGTGAGAACAGCACCATCTACAGGCCTGGCATATGTACTACAACGTCTCCAGCGCTTTCGAACGGCAATGCCGTGGCTGTCTCCTCCTGATTGGTGGAGTTGGCCCAATAGCCGTAGTGCCACCGTCCTGACGTCAGGACAGTGTTCAAATCTGGATCAGTTTTTATCAGATCCGTTGCAGCCCCTTTTTTAGAGATTTGGGTATGGAGGAAAATAGAGAGGGTTGTGTTTTCTGACACTTGGTGAGTTCCCTGGAACACCGGGGACAAATATTCATGTATACAAGACGTACAAAAGTGCATTTTGCATGATAGGTCCCCTTTAAGTAACATTTTGAATGCAGGACTTTTACTGTAACAGAGTATTCCTACACTCTGGTACTTCTACTTTTACTCAAGTACAAGATCTGAGTACTTCTACTCAAGTACAACATCTGAGTACTTCTACTTTTACTCAAGTACAAGATCTGAGTACTTCTACTTTTACTCAAGTACAAGATCTGAGTACTTCTGCTTTTACTCAAGTACAACATCTGAGTACTTCTACTCTAAACTATAGCTTCATGACTGATGATTTGTTTAAATTGCAGTCTCTGATACTCGTCTACCACTAGATGGCATATTAGCTCCACAAACCTCATCTAACTCATCTGCTGCCATCAGTTATCCACTTTGTCAACAGTGCTGCAGGAGCACAGCACACAGTCGATTTATATAAATGTTAAAATGTTGTGTGTCTATCCCCCCCCCCCCCCCCCCCCCCCCCCCCCCCCCCCCCCCCCCCCCCCCCCCCCAGGAGTCATGTGTCATCATCATTAGGGACATAATACAACGCTGACAAGATATCAATTGCACAGCTCATTTTCAAAAGTGCCTCAGTGTACTCGCACTGCTGTTTCTCCTCTCTGAATCCCCAGAATCAGGAGAGTATTGACTGGAAAAATGCAATAACAAGAGTGAGTGGGGTAAATTACATTTGCAGTATATGGATGTTATATTTGTCCTGGCAGTAGACGGTGAATAAATTGTTACACAATGCAGTGTAGACATCACAAATGTCATCTGCTGGAGCAAGAGTTTTTACTTGTTGTTACTCTGCTAATAAGGATAATCTTCTCAGGTGACCAAAGCTTGAATGTACATTTTTATGAATTTACTTAATTTAGTTGTGACTAAAATCATCTCAGTGTGAAAATATTTGAAAAATCCCATTTAATTCTAATGCTGAGTCACTCCTTGAACTTCACTTCACATCTCAATCCCAAAGTTGGACTCTAAGCGCTTAAGTCGATGCTAATTTATTCCCAAACTTTCCCCGGTCACATCCAAACCTTCTCCCGGTCCATTTCCCCGTGTTATGCCATGACGTCAGGGTTGTTAATGACAGGAGCTAACCTTCCTCCAGTCAACCCTAACTCCCAATTCATGTCCTGCCCTTTCCCAATTTCATCTGACCGCAACTCGCTCAATCTTTGATGTTGTAACACTGCCTCTGGCTTTGGCTTATACACCGGTGTCTCAGTGTGTGTGTGTGTGTGTGTGTGTGTGTGTGTGTGTGTGTGTGTGTGTGTGTGGGGGGGGGGGTGGGGGGCGAAGGGTAGATCAAGGTGAATGTATCAGGGGTTGTGTTTGCTTTCATTTGGCTTAATGTTTACGTCAACCTGTTTGTCTGGCCCCAGAACAAAGTCCACTTGACCTAGTCTTGCTTCGAAATCCTGCACATAGATTTCCAAACACACCCACGTTCTCCAGCTTTAAAAGCGACTGTGTGTGTGTGTGTGTGTGTGTGTGTGTGTGTGTGTGTGTGTGTGTGTGTGTGTGTGTGTGTGTGTGTGTGTTGTTGGGAGGGATGATTGGAAGACAGATGACTGACAGCTCACACAGTAGGAGAGGAGCACTGTGGTCACCGCTAAGAAGAAGAATCTCAGACTGAACGAGGGGAGGGAGAGGTTGTGGTTTTGGTTCGACATTAACTCTCCTCTCTCCAAAAACCACAGTTACAGCCACAGGTCGGAGGGATTGAAGAGATAGATTAGATTTCATGTTGTGAATAGGTTTTGGTGGATGAACAACAGCTAGCAGACGAGAAAGAAGCCAAGTGTTGACCAGAGGGAGCTCAGGGTCAGACACTGAAACCACTCCAGCTTCCCACGGTAGCTTCATTTCACAAGAATTCATAAGGCATGGGCCAGTTATAGCATGTGTTAGGATTACAT